TTATTATAATTTTTTTAAACAGAAATCTTAGTTAAAACACTCAATAAGTTGAGCATTTCATAATGTGTTGGGTCAAATATGGACAAACAACGGCTAGGTTTGTTCATGTTTGACCCGACACGGAGTTAAAACAAGCCAGCTTTCTTAAGTGCATTAAATGTTATTATGATTTACTGAAATAACAATAAAAAATACAATTGACCAGCAAATCACAACAAAAACACACACTACTATACTCAACCGTACTAATAAACAGCGTATAACCCAGCTCTAAACTATACAACCAGATGAAAACACTACAGCTCTACCAAACTGACTGAACAACAGGAGCGTTTTCATACATTTTAAAACATAAATCTCATCAAAAACACACAGAAAGTGGAGAATTTCAATATTCTTTGGGTCAAATATGGACAAACAATGGTTAGGTTTGTATTAGCATGACAATAGCAGCTCTACCAAACTAACTGTAAAAGCTGTAGTGCATTTCCTATATATTTTTAAAACCTAAAACTCATTAAAAGCACCCAAAAAGTGGAGTGTTTCAAATGTATTAGGTCAAATATGGACAAACAATGAATAGGTTTGTTCATGTTTGACCCAACACGGAGTTAAACAGGACAGCTTTCTTTAGTGTATTAAATATCAATATGATTTACTGAAATATAACATGTAAATGTAAAATACAACTGAACTGCAATCACATTTGAACAGAAGCTTCACGCAAAAACACACACTCAACCGTATTAAACGCTAATAAACGGCATACAACCCAGCTCTAAATTAAACATCCAGATGAAAACACTACAGCTCTACCAAACTGACTGGAAAAGATGAGCGTTTACATATTATTAAATATAAATCCCATTAAAAACACCGAAAAAAAGTGGAGCATTTCAAAATGTTTTGGTTCAGATATGTACTAACAATGATTAGCATGACAATAACAGCTCTATCAAACTAACTGTAAAAGCTGTAGTGCATTTTCATATATTTATAAACATAAATCTCATTAAAAACACCCGATAGGCTGAGCTTTTCTAAATGTGTTGGGTCATATAGGGATAAACTACGGCTAGGTTTGTTCATGTTTGACCCAATACATAAGGCCACTTAATATAAAGTGGGACCTAACTACGATGTACTTACATCCAAAAATAAATACAATGTACTTACTGTTTTTATAATGTATTTGAGAACACTTGTGGTGCTTTTGAGTTGGGATAGAGGTTGGGTTATGGACAGGTTTGGTGGCATGGGTAGGTTTAAGGGTGGGTTAAGGTGTAAGGGATGGTCAACAGTGTATTTACAAATGTAATTACAGAAGTTAATTACAGATGTAATTACATACATGTATTTAATCAAGCATAAGTACACAGTAAATACATGTATTTACACAATAAGTACATTGTAACAAACTATTACTTCCTATGTAAGTACATATTAGTTAAGGCCACTTAATATAAAGTGGGACCCAGAACTCAAACAAACCTGTTTTCTTTAGTGTATTAAATATGATTTACTGAAATATAACAATAATAAACAATACAATTGGCCTGCAAATCCCACATGAACAGCAGTTTCACAGCTAAAACACACACTAGTACTATACGCAACGCTAATAAACAGCATATAACCCAGCTCTAAACTAAACATCCAGATCAAAACACTACAGCTCTACCAAACTGACTGGACAAGATGAGTTTACACACGTTTAAACAATAATATCAATAAAAACACCTAAAAAGTAGAGCGTTTCAAAATGTAATGGGTCAAATATGGTTAGGTTTGTCCATATTTGACCAAACATTGAGTGAAAAATACCCAGCATTATTCATACTGAAATTTAACACTAAAATCTATATATAATTGAGTTGCAATCACATTTGATAACAGTACATGCATTTTAATTGCTTACATGTTCCATAATAAAAATAAATATAACCAATATAATAATAATTGTATACACTAGCTTCACCACAAACACACACTACTACACTGAGCCATGCTAAAGACTAATAATCAGCATATAATGCATATAACCCAGCTCCAAAAAAACAGCCAAATCAAAACAATACAGCTCCACCAAACTGACTGGAAAAGATGAGAGTTTACATACATTATTAAACCTAAATCAAAAGCACCCAAAACGTGGAGCGTTTCAAAAGTTATTTGGTCCAAAATGGACAAACTTTACCATGAGCAATTCCAGCGTTATGGATGTGACATTTGCAGTAAAAACTCAAAACATAATTTCACACAGAAAGTATATGTTGACATTATATCGAAACTTCTGTTTATATTTTCCAAAACAGCTCACCACAGAGTTCTGGGAGCAGAAAAATATCAATATGTAAACATGTTTTATATTTTAAATTAGGAAAATAAACATGCGTTATGGATGTGACAAAAAAAGTTTGCGAATTTACAGTGGACAACAGATTATTTAGAAATTCTGACAGTTAAACTGCACAACCCAAGAGACACAATGCTCATCTAATAGGTATGAGTCGGCTCACTATCGAATTAAAATGATTGATTTCATTTTATTTGACATTTTTGCATTTATGAAGAAAAAGTGTCGTTATGGATGTGACACATTTCCGTTATGGATGTGACAGCTGTGAAATTGCCACTTGTGTGATTTTGGCAAATTAAATATAAAATTAAAAATCTAAAATTAAATATATATATCGTTTGAAATACTGACAGATACATTTACGAGTATTTTTAAAGTACTGTAAAAAACTTGCTAACACAAAAAATGTAGAAACGGTTTCTCTATTTTGGTGAAAACTAAATTATTTTTTATGGCAAGGTTGACATTTGCATGGAATTGCCCCCATCCATATTTGACCCAATATTGAGTTAAATCAGCCCAGCGTTTTTGATACTGAAATTTAGCACTAAAATCTATATATAATCAAGTTGTAATCACACTTAATAACTGACAAATGCTATTTAATTGCTTACGTTCTATAATAAAAATGAATATAACCAATATAATAACACATGTATACACTAGTTTCACAACAATGGACACATACTTCTACACTCAGCCATGCTAAAGACTAATAAGCAGCATATAACCTAGCTACAAAGTCCCACAGATATATCCAGATGAAAACACTACAGCTCATTAATTATTAAACAAAATATATTCAAAGCAGAAAAAAGTGGAGTGTTTAAAATTTTGATGGGTCAAATATAGACAAACAATGGTTAAGTTTGTCCAAATTCGATTCAACATTGAGTTAAAACAGGCCAGCATTTTTATACTGAGATTTAATACTAATAAAAATATAATTGAGTTGCAATCACACTTGATAACAGATAAATGCACTTTAATTGCTTAAATGTTCCATAATAAAAATAAATATAACCAATATAATAATAATAATTGTAAACACTAGCTTCACCACAAACACACACTACTACACTGAGCCATGCTAAAGACTAATAAACAGCATATAATGCATATAATCCAGCTCCAAACTAAACATCCAGATGAAAACACTACAGCTCCACCAAACTGACTGGAAAAGATGAGTTTACATACATTATTAAACCTAAATCTAAGTTTACACCCAATAAGTGGAGCGTTTCAAAACACAATAAGTCAAATACGGAAAAACAATGGTTAAGTCTGTCCATATTTGACCCAACATTGAGTTAAAACAGCCCAGCGTTTTTTATACTGAGATTTAATTCTAATAAAAATATAATTGAGTTGCAATCACATTTGATAACTGATAAGTGCATTTTAATTGTTTAAATGTTCTATAATAAAAATAAATAACCAATATAATAATAATGCTATACACTAGTTTCACAGCAAACACACACACTGAAGAGTGTTGCATGCAGAACTGTTGCAATTTGTTTGTGTTGAATTTAAACAAACAAATTAAGTTTAGTAATGTTCAACTTAATTTGTTTGTTTAAATTCAGCCCAAATAAATTGTTTATAACCTCTTAATGTAAAGAAATTGAGTAAATCCAAGGAATCATCTTTGAATATTTTTTTTCAGTGTACACTCAGCCATGCTAAATGCTAATAAACAGCATATAATGCATATAACCCAGCTCCAAACTAAACATCCAGCTGAAAACACAACAGCTCCACCAAACTGACTGGACAAGATGAGCGTTCACATACATAAATCTCATTAAAAACACCCCAAAAGTCAAGCATTTCAATATTCTTTGGGTCAAACATGGACAAACAATGGTTAGGTTTGTGTTAGCATGACAATAGCAAACTAACTGCAAAAGCTGTAGTGCATTTTGCTCATATTTAAACACATCTCTCATTAAAAGAGTTCACAGTGCGTCTCCTGCAATGCTTTGGTGTGGATCTTCATGAAAGTGGGTCAGCGGTGAGCTTGGACCATGAGCCATCGCTGTGTGCTCAACAGTTGCATAAGACGGCTTTCAGCTTTTCCAGGTCAGACACTCCAGCAGATCATTAGACTGAAACTGCAGCAGAAACACCACTCAAGGAGATGCCTTTAGAGGAGCTCTGGATATATATACACTGATGCAAATCCACCAGAAGTCATGCATGTGTTTTATTAGAGCCAAACATGAGGAGGAATGTTCTCAGAAACCTCCGAGAACCACCAGACGGAGTCTTAAAACTGCAGTAACCTTCATCTGAGGGAACCTGTTTGCCCTGACATGGGAGACGTGCCACCATTTTGAGCTCCTCTGGCCTGCGTCTGTCGCATTGAGAGTGTGTGTGTGTGTGTGTGTGTGGTGCGCTGTCTTTGTCAGCAGGATTTCACAGTGGCCAGAGCGATTGCAGAAGGACACACACACACACACACACACACAC